CCCGAAAAGAACAAAAGAGGCAAAAAAAAAGGGCCATCATAGGGAGTGCCCCTTCTGCCCCTGGGAATAAAGATTCGGTTACATTGAATCTGAAGAAAAAACAAACAAACAAATCGGCGCCAAGCCTGGAGAGACTTACAGCGCAATTCTCTATAGTTAGTTAAGCTACAATTAGGATATGTAGAACACTATCCCGTGAGAATTCAACATCCTGCAAATAAGAAAAGAGCTAGGCCTCGGGTGATGTTATTCAAAACATAAACCACAGGAAAAGGCTCATTAATATACCAGAAAAAGACCCGCTTCATTACCTCTAAATGTGAGACCAGCGGCCAAAATTAAGATTTGCTCAGTCAGTTAGTTTAGAATCGACTCTATGCACTGCAGAAGCTAAGCGTTAAAAAGAAAAGAAGGAAAACCTCTGTTGTTCAAGCAAACTCCGAAGTCACGTTTGACGTGCTTGGCTTGTCGACACTTGAGTTTTCTTGCCAAAAAAAGCACAAGACAGTGAAAGACCATTCTCTCTGTTTTTTGTTTTTGCGGATAGTCTCTCTTTTTTCGTGCCTTTCCCTTCTCGCGCCTTCAGTTACGCGCGTGGTCATTTGCGTGTCTCGCGCGTTTTGATCGACGGACCACGAAAATCGTAGTCTGCGCCGAGAAGGGTTGTTTACCACTAACATGGGCAAACCGGTCGATCCACGGTTTAGGCAAATGGTACGCATAATTCAGGACTGGTAAATTTCGCCCCGGAAATCGCGTCTACCATTTGTACGAATCAGTTCCATTTACCGGAAAACGACCACGAAGGCCTGAACGGCTTTGAAGAAATGGAAAACGAATTTCTGTTTGGAATATTCCGTCCGGAAATAAGGATTACCTTTTCAGATAGATTACAGCCCCCTATTTCCTTCGGGCGTCGATAAAACCCGGAACATGGAACATTCCGGAACATCCCGGAACATGAAAAAATAACAATAATTTTCACGAAAATAAATAAATAAAATGGAGAGAAAGAGAAAGAAATAAAGAAAAAGAAACTCGTATCATCTCCGGGTATGAGAAAACAACATTTTGTCGCAAATAATTTGTGGGGCGAGGGTCCATGGAAATGACAGTAATGAGCGAAGGTTTGCTTCTAAATTGAAAATATATTCAAACGGGTCGCGAGGAGGGGGGTTTTCAAGCTTTACTCACACAGCTACCTCTTGTAAATGTTTGCATGCGGTTTAACGGTTATTCATTTACGGCTTTGCGACCGCAAGAAGAGCTTAGGGACCAGTCAGAATTTAAATTGGAGGGGGGAGTGGAGGAGAAATTGTTTTTTATCCCAAATTATTTCCAGACTCCTACTCAATAGCACCCATGTTTTTAGGTACCCCCCCCCCTTCAATCATGTTAAAAGATTTAAGGGCCCCCCTTTCTTACGTAATACCCAAATGGTAATAACAAATAACATTTTCTTTACTTTACCGTTCTTACTCACTGTCACTTCCGAATGTGCCGCGCCAACTACATAATCGTCATCTGAGAGTGATTCGTCATCTTGCTGGTCAGCATAGGACATGGAGTCTGCCATTTCCAACTGTTTCTCTTTTATAGAATTAAGCTCATTATTTCGCAGTACATGGCAGCTGATGGTTTTTATTTTGTCACTTTTTTTACCATACTTGCCAAGTCCATGGGCAGTTACATATTTCTCAAGTTCTTTGACAGTTAGTTGTTGCAATGTTCCTTTTAGAGACATGTCTAGCCAGTCATACTCATTGTATGTTTTTAGGTCTCGTTTGCTTTTGTCGGTTTGCCTCTGAGTCTACCTGATGGATTCTTTGAGTCTCAGTGTTGTCAGGTGCTCCAGATATGAACGCACGTATTTTTCATCAACAGCGAACTTTGTTGCATATTCTTTAATGGCATTTGTATCATTGAGGGTTATTTCTGATGAATTAAATAAGCTTTTCAACTGGGCCCTTGGCTGCCAGTCATCAGGATCTCTGCGGCTACCATCATCATTTCTCACTCGCGTACAAAGCACGTTCTTACAGTGTGGAGGGTTCTTGGGGTCAGGTATGGGTTGAGGTATTCGCGCACTCTCTGGTCCTACCCATGGATGCCTTTCACAGAAGTCGCAAAGACGACCATCTGAATGTTCAGTGCATGCCCTCTTGAGAAACTCCATATAGAGCTCACCCACATTGTAATGTGATTCAATGAAGGCCGATGAAATTGGTTCAGTGTTACACAATAATGGATGTTGTGTTGGTGCACCTACTATTTGAGCATTAAATCTTTTTGTCAAAATGCTGATTAAATTGTTTTCGTATTATACACAATATAGGACTTTGTGTAAACCTGAATCAAAATCAGGTCCTTTAATACTCAAGCATCATGCTGCTCAGCAGGGATGCTACGTAAAAGAAACTTGAAGACCCCCCCTCCAAGGTCATCTTTTGGCATTTTAAGGCCCCTCATATTCCATCCAAAAAAATAAACTGAAGGCCCCCCAATTTCTTCTCCACCCCTGCCCCCCCTCCAACTTAAATTATGACTGGTCCCTTAGGGGCTCGTCGCTTTGGACTTTAGTAACTTAATTACCGACTCGGCTTGACATGGCATACTGCACCGACATTTCAGACCATCGCAGAACCGTAAATGGTTAACCGCCAAATGATTAACTCATGGCAAACAATTACAAGAGGTAGCTGTGTGAGTAAAGCTTGAAAACCCCCCTCCTCGCGACCCATTGTAACATATTTTGAATTTAGAAGCAAGCCTTCACTCATTATTGTCGTTTGCATGGACCCTCACACGCCCAACAAATTATTTGCGACAAAATATGGTTTTCTCATACTCGGAGATGAGTTTCTTTTTCTTAATCATTTCTTTATTTTTCGTTTTTTTTTATAATTTATTTTATGTTATTTTGTTATTATCAATTTTTACAAAAATTATGTTATTATTATCATTTTATTTAATTAATTTTTTTTCATGAAAATTACTTTTATTTTTTCATGTTCCGGGATGTTCCGGAATGTTCCGGCATGTTCCGCAACCTCGTCCCCAGGGCGCTTTTCCCCAAAGCCAGGGAAAAGCGCCCTGGGGACGAGGTTGCATGTTCCGGAATGTTCCATGTTCGGGGTTTTATCGACGCCCATTCCCTTCCGCCAAGTTGAAGATGGCGGTCGCCGCTGTCAAAGTGATTTGGGTACCCTCTGACGACAAAACTGGTGAGAGCGAAGTTGGTGCTAATTCGAATATTAATGCTTTGCTAACGTGTTCGTTGTTTGAATTTTGTGAGACGTTACTGGATTTTAGTGAACAAGATTTCATTTTGGAAACGGTAATGCGAAGCTATTCTCGGCGACTAGACTTTTTTGAATTAAATCCTTACGTTGATTTGCGTCAGAGAACAAAGTTGACTATTCATCCCCAATAATTACATGAAAAACAATCTTGAGTTCCCCAGAATAAAATAATGACCCAATAATGGAACTACAACTTTTATGAAAGCAGCTGTGAAAGGGGCTGTTGTGATTCCTGTGATCATGGAGATCCACAAAGACTTCCTAGGCCCGTTTCAGACTCTACAGCTGACTCTAGACATGACACTGACACGACCGAACCAAATGCTCCGAGATTGATATATTTAGCAAGGTGGAACACAAAAACACAAAAACAAAGACAGACGGCTCCTTTCCTTTTTATTCACCTTTGACCCGGACACGTAACAAACGGATACTGTAATATTCAGTGACTTTAGCTGAAAGATAGTGTTTACAAAAATAACAAGTCGCATAAGCAAACCCTCAAGTGTCTTAAATAAATCAGGCTTGGGCTCGAAATATAGAGTGGGAAAAAAATGCAACGTCACTGTGGATGCCCAAATCAAATCACAGCCTCAACCAGGCGGGAAAAAAGGGGACTGCAAAATAACTTGAATTTCAGCTGTCTCCACGAGTCGCAAACTCCTTTTGCGACTCGAGGAGACGTCTGAAATATCAGGCTGACTGTAAACATTATAGAAACTACTATGAATGTGAGTATTGTCCAATAAAATCCAAAGACAGGAGCCCTTAAGCTCTTCTTAAGTTCACAGAGCCTAGTCTGTCAGTAATTCATGTCAACCTCAAGAAAGCAAGGCACCTCAGGTAAGCAAGTGTCGGTTATATATAAGGAGACTATATGTTGACTTCACATGAGTTACTTACCGACTTGGCTTGATATGAAATACTGCACCGACATTTCAGACCATCGCAGAGCCGTAAATGGATAACCGCCAAATGATTAACTCACGGCACACAATTAAAAGAGGTAGCTGTGTGAAAAAAGCTTGAAAACCACCCTCCTCGCTCCCCATTTTAATATTTAATTGAATTTAGAAACAAGCCTTCACTAGATCATTACTGTCATTTGCGCAAACCCTTACTCGCCCAACAAATTAATCGCGACAAAATATTGTTTTCTCATACTCAGAGAAGATACCAGTTTCTTTTTCTTAATTATTTTTTGTTATTTTACGTTATTATTAATTTTTACAAAAATTATTTTATTTTTAAATTTTTTTTTTTCATGAAAATTTTTTTTATTTTTTCATGTTCCGGAATGTTCCCTGTTCCTGGTTTTATCGACGCCCCGGAAAATGTCATGTTCCATTTACTTTCCAACCGGATTTTCCGGAATCTTTTCCTAAACGGTAAACAACCAAGGACTCTGGACTCTATTTGAAAGTACAAAGCTGGACTAATTCCAAAAAATTAAGATGGGTCACGTTTAGCTCTAAAGTGATTTTAATATAAACTGTCACAAAAGATCAAAACACTGACCATGAATTATTTTTACTTGGAAGAGACGGAGAGTTGACTTTAAAATATTGGTGAATATAACAGCAGACACTGAAAAACGGATTAACCGGAAATGAAACTAAGGCTGCATTTATGCGGTCGTCGCGTGATCCCGAGATCGCCTGATCGTGCGTGGAATGAATATCTCAATTACGTCTGAGCCCTCGGCAATCAAGAGTGAAAAGTGCTAAACGAAGCGAATAGTTGTATATTCATTTTGCTGAACACTGGTTCGATTTAGTTGGTTACATTTCATCGTTCATCGACAGCATTTCCTTTTCGGTTGAGGAGGACCTTAAACATACAATCGGTAAAGTATAAAAATATTCAAATAGCAAAGTTAATACCGTATGCGCGTTATCTTTAGCGCTGCATCACATATGCAGTGCCATGGGCTCTGTGGAAGAATGTTTGAAGTACGAAAACTCTTCGTTATCCTAAACAAAGCGTTCGCCGTAGATATTAGGCTGAGGGCGATCTTACCAGGTTATCGTGAGAAAGGCCTCTTTTGGTTTTCTTTAGATGGCGAACAATCTCTCAGTCCTATTTCCTTAAAAGCTTCTAACCCCGGGGGCTACTCAACAAGTTTTATAAGGGAAGGCTCCTTCCTAAGTCCAACCCCTTTTGAAGAAATAGGTACCTTTATTCACCATACATTCATACACATAACCTATTACATAATTACAAGAGAGGAGATCAAGCAAGAATTGTTGAGCTTTTAGATGATCTCCGCTGCATTCTAAATGGATGTAAGGCATAGCATTCTTCGAATTCCTGTTTTAAGAAACTGTCTATGAAAAACTATTTCTTTTTAAGCCGGGAGTAAAATTACATACAGACTTTATTCTAAAACATTTTATACGAACTTAATATGTTTCTTATATCTGGAGGAATCCGGGTTGTTTCAAATAGTTGCTCCCTTAAAACCTAGGAAGTATTTGCCATTATTTTCCGAACTTTAATTGCTCAACGCATTTAAACATTTGAAGGATCTTTGAACAAAAGATGGGCTGCATGCATGGTATGTTTTCTTTAATCGCAGTCTAATTAATTTAAGATACTTGTAGTTTGCAGCTCTATTATTAAAGTTAAAATATCAAAAATCCCTCACTGCTTTTTATGTTTATTAACGCAGTTTGCGTGTTGTATTTCTTATTAAAATATGCACATTGTCTTTAAGGATTTGTTTTCTTTGCGACGAAGAGTGGCTTTAGTCATCTCGCCTAATCAGAGAAACTATAATTTGCTAGCAGTTTTGCCCATGAGTACTCTGGTTTCCGTTATACTGTTCGGCGTAGCTAAATTGTTTTTTTTTTTTTTAAACAGGTTTCAAGACTGTTTTCTCTCCGTAACCGAATGGCGGCTAAAATGTACTCAGAAGAGCAGCTAAACTACTTCCGGGTTTGTCACATAGCCACTGATATACTGCCACCAGCTTTAAGGTCACTGTTCAAGCAGGAATGGGACAATTGTTACAAGGCAACTTATGGAGAATGGAAAGACACGCCTCAAAATGGATTGGACTTCAAAAACGGTGAATCTCCTGCTAATCAAAGAAAAAATGCCCGATTGTTAGCTACAATGATAAATGGAGACAGAACAGAATGGGACTGTACTATGCTATTTTATGCCATCCTGTATTCTGATTCTATCGGATATGGACTGAGTCCACTGTTCAGAACCAATGTTGATGATCTCAGAAAGTTTCGAAATGAAGGCTTCGCTCATATGACAGAAGGCCAGCTCTCAAATGCAGATTTCAGTGTCACTGTTGCAAAAGTTGAGAAAGCATTTCGAGCTCTTGGCCTGTCTACCGCTAGTATCCAAGCTGTAAGTAAGCAGAAAAGTTTTCCAACCGATGAGTTGCATAATGTGAAGACAAGTATTCAGAAACTTACTCAAGACCTTCAGACGAAAGACGCCGAACTTCAAGACAAAGATACTAAATTGCAGGAGAAAGATGTGGCGCTTCAGGAAGAAAAAAATAAGTTACAAGAGAAACATGCCGAGCTTCAGGATAAGGAAGAAGAGCTTCAAGAAAACAAAGAGAGGCTTAGAACTACGGAAGAACAGCGCAAGGTCTTTGAAGAGCAACTACAACGTGAAGTACAACCATTTTGCGTCCTTCCACCCAGACCTCCCCATGTGATTGCATGTCGCGACTGTGATGTTGCTAAAGTAACACAGACGCTGTTAAAGTTAAGAAAGGCTAGCGAGAACAAATTAAGTTATTGTTATATTACAGGTAATCCTGGGAGTGGCAAATCCCAGCTGGCTGGACTGGTTGCTGAAAATATCTACAAAGAAGCACGGAAAGACACGAGTGCTCCGTCATTTGTTATGACTTTAAATGCTGAAAACTTAGAATCACTTTTAGCATCATACTTATCACTGGCAAGAAAAATAAGCTGTCCCGCGTATACTATAACTGCCACCGAAAACTCTAAAGATTTAAATATTGAAGAGAAGGTAGCCATTATCAAAGATTTGATTACGACCAAAATTCACCTTTACTCATCTTGGTTCTTGGTGATTGACAATGTCACAAATCTGGCTAGAATGGGTCAGTTTTTTCCTAAACGTGGAAATGAGCATTGGAGTAAAGGCCAGCTACTAATCACAACGCAGGATTGTTCCTGTATCCCTCCTGAGAGTCCATTCACCTCTCACCTTTCCATAAGCAAAGGCATGAACGACACTGACGCTGCCGACCTTCTCTTCGAGCTCACTGGAATCACAGACGATGGTATGGGGAAAAAGGTAGCGCGCGCTTTGGATTACCAGCCACTTGCACTAGCCAGCGCAGGAATCTACGTGAGAAAGGTACGAAAAACCAATCCAGACTTTGGCTGGGAAGGGTACTTGAAAAAACTGGAAAAAGGGAAACGTGAACGTACTGAAGAAGAACTTACCAAAGTAAACAATATCTACCCGGACTCTATGACAGAAGCGATTAGGATAGCCATTCAAGCGGAAATTGATTCTAATAAAATAATGAAGCATGTTTTCACTTTCCTTGCTTTTTGTGCACCAGAGCCAGTAAGGCTAGACCTGTTGACCACTTACGTTGTAAATGCTGATGGAGAGTTGGATCAAGAGGAAATAGGCATTCAGATCCAAGGGTCCTCCTTGCTGTTAATCGAAAATGAGGATGATGTCTTCATTCGTTTGCATAATGTAGTATACACTATTGCCAAGAATTTAGTTAAAGAAGAAATGCACCAAGCTGATGAACATGTCCGAGTTGTTTGTGTTGCGGTGGAGTCATTTAGTAAGTTTATAAAAGAAGCAATACCAAAGATCCTGGAAAGTAAAGATTCTGTGTGTGAAAGTAGGCATATTGTTCCACACTTGAGAACTCTAACTGCCGAAACTAAAAATATTTTCTTTACTACAGAGAAATTCGGTTTTATCAAAATCACTATTGAAGAATTATGTATAACTGTGTATGACTTTCTCGCGCTTGGTCGTGTTTGCTATTCCAATAGTGAGTACCAATCAGCAATGGACTATTTCAGTGTAGCTTTAAAACTCAGCGAAGACAAAGAGCACAAGACACTGACCGATCACTTAGAAGAGGCGGAAATAAACCATAACATGGGTATCGTACATAACGACTTGGGTGACCATCAACAGGCTAAGGAGTATTATGAACGTGCCCTGTCCATACAATTGAAAAAGCTTGGAGCCGACCATGTTGACGTCGTATGTACGTACCAGAACATGGGCGTCCTACATCACGACTTGGGTGACCATCAACAGGCTAAGGAGTATTATGAACGTGCCCAGTCCATACGACTGAAAAAGCTTGGAGCCGACCATGTTGACGTCGCATTTACGTACCATAGCATGGGTACCCTACATCACGACTTGAGTGACCATCAACAGGCTAAGGAGTATTATGAACGTGCCCTGTCCATACGACTGAAAAAGCTTGGAGCCGACCATGTTGACGTCGCATGTACGTACCAGAACATGGGCGCCCTACATCACGACTTGAGTGACCATCAACAGGCTAAGGAGTATTTTGAACGTGCCCTGTCCATACAATTGAAAAAGCTTGGAGCCGACCATGTTGACGTCGCACGTACGTACCAGAACATGGGCGTCCTACATCACGACTTGGGTGACCATCAACAGGCTAAGGAGTATTATGAACGTGCCCTGTCCATACGACTGAAAAAGCTTGGAGCCGACCATGTTGACGTTGCATGTACGTACCAGAAGATGGGCGTCCTACATCGCGACTTGGGTGACCATCAACAGGCTAAGGAGTATTATGAACGTGCCCTGTCCATACGACTGAAAAAGCTTGGAGCCGACCATGTTGACGTTGCATGTACGTACCAGAAGATGGGCGTCCTACATCGCGACTTGGGTGACCATCAACAGGCTAAGGAGTATTATGAACGTGCCCTGTCCATACGACTGAAAAAGCTTGGACCCGACCATGTTGACGTCGCATTTACGTACTATCGCATGGGTACCCTACATCACGACTTGAGTGACCATCAACAGGCTAAGGAGTATTATGAACGTGCCCTGTCCATACAATTGAAAAAGCTTGGAGCCGACCATGTTGACGTCGCATTTACGTACCATAGCATGGGTTTCCTACATCACGACTTGAGTGACCATCAACAGGCTAAGGAGTATTATGAACGTGCCCTGTCCATACGACTGAAAGAGCGTGGACCCGACCATGTTAACGTCGCATTTACGTACCATAGCATGGGTACCCTACATCACGGCTTGGGTGACCATCAACAGGCTAAGGAGTATTATGAACGTGCCCTGTCCATACAATTGAAAAAGCTTGGAGCCGACCATGTTGACGTCGCATGTACGTACCAGAACATGGGCGTCCTACATCACGACTTGGGTGACCATCAACAGGCTAAGGAGTATTATGAACGTGCCCAGTCCATACGACTGAAAAAGCTTGGAGCCGACCATGTTGACGTCGCATTTACGTACCATAGCATGGGTACCCTACATCACGACTTGAGTGACCATCAACAGGCTAAGGAGTATTATGAACGTGCCCTGTCCATACGACTGAAAAAGCTTGGAGCCGACCATGTTGACGTCGCATGTACGTACCAGAACATGGGCGCCCTACATCACGACTTGAGTGACCATCAACAGGCTAAGGAGTATTTTGAACGTGCCCTGTCCATACAATTGAAAAAGCTTGGAGCCGACCATGTTGACGTCGCACGTACGTACCAGAACATGGGCGTCTTACATCGCGACTTGGGTGACCATCAACAGGCTAAGGAGTATTATGAACGTGCCCTGTCCATACGACTGAAAAAGCTTGGAGCCGACCATGTTGACGTTGCATGTACGTACCAGAAGATGGGCGTCCTACATCGCGACTTGGGTGACCATCAACAGGCTAAGGAGTATTATGAACGTGCCCTGTCCATACGACTGAAAAAGCTTGGAGCCGACCATGTTGACGTTGCATGTACGTACCAGAAGATGGGCGTCCTACATCGCGACTTGGGTGACCATCAACAGGCTAAGGAGTATTATGAACGTGCCCTGTCCATACGACTGAAAAAGCTTGGACCCGACCATGTTGACGTCGCATTTACGTACTATCGCATGGGTACCCTACATCACGACTTGAGTGACCATCAACAGGCTAAGGAGTATTATGAACGTGCCCTGTCCATACAATTGAAAAAGCTTGGAGCCGACCATGTTGACGTCGCATTTACGTACCATAGCATGGGTTTCCTACATCACGACTTGAGTGACCATCAACAGGCTAAGGAGTATTATGAACGTGCCCTGTCCATACGACTGAAAGAGCGTGGACCCGACCATGTTAACGTCGCATTTACGTACCATAGCATGGGTACCCTACATCACGGCTTGGGTGACCATCAACAGGCTAAGGAGTATTATGAACGTGCCCTGTCCATACAATTGAAAAAGCTTGGAGCCGACCATGTTGACGTCGCATGTACGTACCAGAAGATGGGCGTCCTACATCGCGACTTGGGTGACCATCAACAGGCTAAGGAGTATTATGAACGTGCCCTGTCCATACGATTGAAAAAGCTTGGAGCCGACCATGTTGACGTTGCATGTACGTACCAGAAGATGGGCGTCCTACATCGCGACTTGGGTGACCATCAACAGGCTAAGGAGTATTATGAACGTGCCCTGTCCATACGATTGAAAAAGCTTGGAGCCGACCATGTTGACGTTGCATGTACGTACCAGAAGATGGGCGTCCTACATCGCGACTTGGGTGACCATCAACAGGCTAAGGAGTATTATGAACGTGCCCTGTCCATACGACTGAAAAAGCTTGGACCCGACCATGTTGACGTCGCATTTACGTACCATAGCATGGGTACCCTACATCACGACTTGGGTGACCATCAACAGGCTAAGGAGTATTATGAACGTGCCCTGTCCATACAATTGAAAAAGCTTGGAGCCGACCATGTTGACGTCGCATTTGCGTACCTTAGCATGGGTACCCTACATAATGACTTGGGTGACCATCAACAGGCTAAGGAGTATTATGAACGTGCCCTGTCTATACAATTGAAAAAGCTTGGACCAGACCATGTTGACGTCGCACTTACGTACCATAACATGGGCGTCCTACATAAAGACTTGGGTGACCACCAATAGGCTAAGGAGTATTATGAACGTGCCCTGTCCATACGACTGAAAAAGCTTGGACCTGATCATGTTTACGTCGCGCGTACGTCTCGGTTATTAGGTGATGTCCAGCGTGTTTTGGATGCCCAGCAGCAGCTGGCCCTCAGAATTGATGACCGTGTCCAGTTTTTTCAGCGAAAAAATCATAGATCAAAAACATGTAATATTGTGTAGTTATCATAACTTACTTCGTTGGTTGATTGTCTCTGATTTTGCTCAGTAATGGATCAGAAAGATTGTTTGAGTTATTTAATTGTATTCTGCGATTCTGATTGGCTAAAAGCACACGTTTAATTGACCATAACCAGTCACTGATGACCAAATTTGGAAGAAATTTAAGAGTTAATGAACGAGGCTGAGTATCTTATGAAGAATTATGGAGATCGAGGAGGGTGTTGAGATCTCCATAATTCTTCATATGATACGAAAGCCGAATTCAATAACTGTTTTATTATTCATTCAAAATAATTCCAAGTTTAAAAACATAGCTAAAACATGCTTACTTCCATCGATCCATCGTTGTTCAGTTCATCTTCGATAGTGTACGTTTAGGTTTGTTCAGCTCCGCAAATATTCTCCAAATAGCAGATGTCGCCCTTCGAGTTGTCTTCTTGCTGTTCTTGCCGTGTTTTTAGCTATTTTTTCGCCTAGTTCTTACTCTTGAAACGAGTGAAATGTCCGCCATTTTTTTAAGTTCACAACCAAAACAACCCAACCTCGTCCCCGGGTCTTCTCGGTTAACGGTGCCTTAACCTGCGAAAACGCTGCATTTTTGACGTCATTTCCTCGTTAAAGTCAATTAGACAGTCTTGTTAGTAAAATTGGAACATTGTTGGGTAAATAAAATATTTTTATTTGGGATACATTAATTAGTTCGACACGGTATGTCACTTAGACCTACCCGATAGAAAATCCTGAACCATCTAAAAGTTTATCGTGTCTGTCTTAAAGTCTAACATTAGCATGCATTTTCACACGTTATTAGTCTCGCTTGCGTAAGCAGCGAGACTCACAATCTGCAACGCGTTTTTCGCTCGGGGGGCGGTGGGGTAGTCCCTCATATAGGCTACATAGGTATGTGCCGCGCAAAAAGGTATGGTTTTTTAGCCGTTTTGGTCTGAAATAGTGTATCTATTTGGACCATCATGGTCTGAAGTAGGGTATGGTTTGTGCACTCTAGTCTTGAATTGGGAAGTTTTTTTAGACGAATTAGCTACTTCTTCATCATTTGGCGATGAGACCATTTCCCTTTTAATGTTTACGCCAACTACCGTGTACGTGCCGTAACAGCTTGTCACGCGCCGGGCTCCAGGTCTTCAGGTCTGAAATAAGGTGTCAAATTTTTGATCAGGTCTGAAATAGAGTAGGAAAAATCACAGATTTTGGTCTGAAATAGGGGAAGCGTTTCAGGAAGGGTGCTGCACACACCCACCCAATTTTTCTGCAAGTTACCCCCCCGCCCCCCCCCCCCCCGAGATTTTTGGTCGTATTTAGGACACAAAAGGCAGGTCATTGTGCCAAGCGTTCCTTGCGGACACGGTGGAAACTGGGACTAGGTATCGTTGCGTGATGGAAGCCACGCATGTTTTGCGAAGAGAGCTTAGAATTAAACTAGAAATACGTGTATCGCAGAACCTCGCGAAGCTCGGGGGGAGCCCATAAAGGGGGGGCGGAGGACAGGAGAGCAATGAAGTAAATCATATCACTGGGGAGGGTGGATCTAATATTGGAAGCTGAGATGTACTTAATCTCCTGTGGATTAAATCTGAACCTAGTGCTCTGGCTTGGGAAAGGATTTTCTGAGATTTAAACGGGGATTGCTGTTGTTAGCAAATGCTGCATAGGTCCCATCCCCCCATGTTCACTACATGTGTGTAATTATGGCCAAAAAGAAAATGGGGGTGATAGTGGATAACTGCCGGCTAATATTCAGTTGCATTTGCTTAATAAAAGCTCACCCTTAAGTGCAATAATTACTTGTGAAATGTGTCAGTAGAAGTGAGTGGATGGTAATTCTAGGAGATAATGCTGCAGTGAAAACAACAACTAAATGCTGCCAATTGGAGAAAAAATTTATTGTTCGGCGAACTACAGCTATAAAAGTGTTTGCACTTTTTGGTACATAATCACACTTGACAACTATTGTTTGTGACAGTAAAGTGCTAACGTAATCACTGAAATAGAAAATTACAAGTAGCAATGAGAATTACTAAAGTGATCATGATTTATGATTATTGTATGTGTGGGCATTCACCTGAAAGAACTGAAGCCATGTAAAAAGTACCAATTTTTTACCAGTTAGGCAAGTGTTCATAGTTATTCGTGTACATGCATAAGAAACAAATCCCTATGCAAGAGTGAATTTGTATGAAATGTCCACAAACAAGTTATGTTGAAGGTGATCAGTTTCTCCATTGGTCTCCATTCTAAACATGCATGAGCTTGTTGAGACAGTGCCAGAGCCATAGATTTTTAATTTCCCAGACTGAGACGAGGCAAATGAACACTTTCCCTGTATTACATGCATTTATCATGAATGTAAAGCTAAGTGCAGAATGGATTGATCTTATGGGAAACCCTACATAAATATCTGCTTGCATATGTCGTTTGATTTCTTGAAACAATCTTCATCTGCAAATGGAACAAATGTTTTATTTCTGTGATTATGTCACCTCTGTCTGACTTCTTTGAAAGAGTGAAATTTTATGAGTGACCTGTTAACTTTTCCCCAACAGCGAAAGGAATTAACGTTCCTGGCATGGCAACCATGTCACACACCAATATTCTGAGGATATCCGAAATCAGACTGATGTTATTTTCGAATAATATAGGAAGGAAAATATAGGGGACCAGCAATAACCAATTTTTGTCATGTTTGTATAAGGCTGCTATACATACATATATTTTACTTGTGAAGGAAATTGAATGAAAATTGTAAGCTTAAACGAATGTAACAAATGTATACAAAATGTAACGCTTCCCTACATGTCACACATTATCGGTGTTGTAAACTGTTCATTGTAAAGTAAAGCTTACTGTAAAACGGTGAAAAGGCTGATCGGCTGTCCTCAGTCCGCTGCAAAGATACTCCTCATGTCGATTTTACAGATGGTGTAATTCTTGCTTCCTATCGTTGCATCGAAGAAGATAATTTTGACTGTATGTAAACTTGCCTAAGGGGGGCGTAAGGGTTTGCGGTATTGCGGTATTAGGTTATTTTTGGTGCGGTGTTGCGGTAATTTTTATTTCAAAGTACGGTATTGCGGTTTTCCTAGACCAAGCGGTGTGCGGTGAGTTTAAATTTTATGTCGCGGTACTCGGTGAAAAAATCGTTGTGTCGCAGTGATCTGCTTCTTTTTCATGCGAAGAGGATACAAATCCCAAAAGGTCTTCCTAGCTAGCCTGCGTGACCTGCGTGTCTTTCTATAGTTGCACAGTCGGGGATCGTATATTGCGCAAACAGTCCAGACGAATCGTATGGCTTGCAATTTCAGTTAATACTTGATATGATTAACGACATTAACTTTTTTATCCAACGATACGTAAACATGTGGCATTATTTGTGACCTCATGGACCTTGAGGGAGTAGTCAGCTTGGTTAACCTCCTTACGAATCTTACTACCACTTTCGTGCCAGTCGCGAAACAATGGAGAGCGATCCAGAGGGTCAACTAAGTGATCAGTCAGATATTCCAGCAAATAGTGAGGCCAGTGAGGTCGTTATAAATTGCGTAGTGTCGAAAGATAACCTATGAAGATGGTGTGATCTAAAATTTACTACTCGTCCTTCTCGTTGTGCACGCAGAAATATAGAATGTACAAGTATTCGTGTGTGTTTAGCCTACGTAGCATGGCAACCCAGGGGAGGGGGTGGGGTTACTTCCTTATAAGAGGCTAATGAGGATGTGCCGCTGGATGGGGTTGCATTTTCATGAGTGGATTGACTATAATGGGGTCGCATTTTCAAGAGAGTTACTAGAATGGGGTCGGGCATTTTCTTTTTGGGGTAAGACAGTTCTTCATATTTACGGTTAGCAAACGTACCAGAATGTTTGTACTGTAGAAAAGTAAAGTGTTCTTCATTCAATCTAAAAAATGGTCAATTCATAAAAATAGAACGTGACTAAGCTAGGATCACAAAAATAAAGTATTTGTCCAAAAGTGACTAAGATGGGGTCTATAAATGGCCACAGAATACTGACTATAATGGGGTAGGAGCTCTGAGAGGCCAGCGGCACATACCCACCAAAAATTAACCCAAGTAACCCCGTTGTGTCATTTACGTAAACGTATACATGTAATGAACAAAATTAAACGAGGGCGATGATCTTATGTTTATCGCACGCTTGACTTCGACGCACCATGCTAGACTTGGAAACACTGACATAAAAGTATTATTTCTATTTGAAAGAAGGATTTGTAGTAGTGACAACGTCAACTTTTTCCCATTTGTAACTGCGGTTTCGGTATTGGGCTAAATTTTGATGCGGTATTGCGGTATTCTCGCGCTACCATGTGCGGTATTGCGGTATTCGTACCCCCCTTACGCCCCCCTCTTGCCTCTCCTTGCGAATTCTATTGACCGAATTTTGCTGAAACGTCGGCAGTCGGTGTTCCCTCTCTTCGTCAGCTTCGTTTGCAGTGTAACTGTAGTATTTTGTTGCTAACTCTTTACATATTCGTGGTCGCTGTATAACCTCTGTCTCTAGTTGACAGTGTTTGCCTTCGCTGTGCCGTTACTCGCGCTGAATTTAAAGTCGACGTCCTCGCTCTTGCGGAGTTTTGTTTGTAAATCTTTCCCAGCGAGGATTTCCAGCCACTTGTTGAATCCACCGTTGTTGGGTTTGCTGTTCTCTTTTACTTGCCTGTGACTCACCGACGGTAAACATTGTTATAATTCACAGATGAAAAAACCCGTCTTCATGGGCGCTTTCCATTTAGTCAAAAATTCCGGAATTTCCGGTTCGGCGGTAAATGGAACACGTTTCGTCGGCTCGTCCCACTGCAAAATTCCCAGAAAAAGTGGAAAATCTAAAAAGGTGGGCCCGTCTTCCCGGTTGGAATTTTCCGAACGGAATGTCGTGTTCCATTTACGTTTCTCGTAGTTTGTACCAGTTCCAGGTCCACGGTCAGGCACCGCGACGTACCGGAGCCAGTAAGACCAAATGGAACAACTTTTTACCAATCGGAAATTCCACTTTTGCTCCCACCGAAATTTCCGGGTTTTTTTTCCCAAAAGGAAAGCGCTCCATGAATAAAACCCAGAGCTTTGTCGTCGATGGGAATCGGTTGCCTGGAAACCTATAATGCACTTTGACGTCACTACTCTGGATGACGTCAAGGCGGACACCAACCAAACTCGATAGATTTATAGCCAAGACCTGCCTCGTACCCAGACGTCTCTCTTTTTATGAAAATGTGCGCGCAAAGGAAGGCGGGAAGGAGACAACGGGCGAGACGTCTGGTAACCTGAGATCAGGCGTGATTTTTTTGCTTCTTTGCTTCTTTGGCTCGAGAGGGAAAAAATTACGCCTGATACATTTATTTAACAAGCCATCAACCGCCCCCTAATTTACATAATGTAACGTCTGCTTGACCTGTCACGTTATTAGCCAATCAGCGTTTAACAGAAGGGAATCAAATTTTGGCGGGAATAATGTCTCTTTCGAAATAAATTTTAGGGAAAAGAAAACGTTTAAGTACGTTCAGAT